TTCCCTGCTGCTCTTCCTCCCCCTCCTCCTCCTCCTTTCCTCCCCCGCCCCCAGCCCAAGGGAGGTTTTGTGCTTCGCCATGGGGTGGGGGAGTCCTCGCGCAGTGACGTCATGGGGTGGGGAAACTCCGCGCCGTGACGTCACCGCTGGTTGGTATTCCACCTGCATGGCCGGGGGCGGGTGGGGACTGCGACAGTCCCCGGGCACCCCGTGGGGACACCCTGCAGAGTGTCCTGCAGCAACCCCACACCCTACAGCATCCCCGTACTGCAAATCCCCTACAGAGATCCCCTACAGCATCCCCGTACTGCAAATCCCCTACAGAGATCCCCTACAGCATCCCCGTACTGCAAATCCCCTACAGAGATCCCCTACAGCTCCCCCTGCACCCCTTCAACCCCTCCCCAAGAGGATTGCCCACCTTGCAGCCCCCTGCACCCCTCCCTGCAGTCCCATATAGAAAATCCTCTGTAGCCCCTCTCTGCACCCCCCAGCCACTCCCACACCCCCCACAAATCCCTTTTGTGCCCCCCTGCACAGTCTGATGTGCACCCCTGCTGCTGTACCCCAAAACTAGCAGGCCCCTCTGCACCCCCGGGCACACCCTGCTGCTGTCACCCCCTGCCACCCTCCAGCAGCCTCCCCCAGCCCCAGTGCCCCTTGTGGATTGTCCCAAGGCTGGCATGTCCCAAGGCTGGCACATCTGTCACCAGGGTGGGACATCCCTCTGTCCATGTTAGGGTGACATGTTCCTCTTGAACATGAGCAGGCTGTCACATCTGTGAGCTGTGACAGATCTGTGACAGACCTGTGACCAGGCTGGCATGTCACCCTAGTCATGGATAGAGAGACATGGCCTTCTGTGTGTCTGTCACCAGGGTGGGATGTCCCTCTCATGACCAGGCTGCCACCCACGCCTGTGACCAGCCTGTCTCATCCCTCTGTGAGTCTGTGCCAGGCTGGCACATCTGTTACCGGGGTGGCATGTCTGTCACCAGTCTGCTGCATCGCTCTGTGTGTCATTGTCCAGGCTGCCACATCCATGCAGGGCTGGCACATCCCTCCTCGTGCCTCTCCCTGCCCCACATCCCCTCCTCTGTCCACCCCAGCGTCCCCAAATGTCCCTGCAGCCCCACCCTGCACTGTCACCCCCAGAATCGCCTGCTGTCACCCTGGGACTGGTGACACATTGGTGCAGTGGCCCTGCAGCTGCGGAGGAAGTGGGAGAAGCAGCTTGCCCAGAGAGCTGTGGAGTGGGTGAGCACTGGCTGTGGCCCAGGGTGACATTGGGGACGAGGTGACAGGGGGCTCCTGGTTGCTGCCACAGGTGCTGTGAGTGCGGGGCCTCCCTGTCCCACCAGTACTACGAGAAGGATGGGCGCCTGTACTGCAAGAAGGATTACTGGGCACGCTTTGGGGAGCTGTGCCATGGCTGCTCCGAGCAGATCACCAAGGGGCTGGTCATGGTGAGCACCACGGGGTCCCCAGGGGTGGGACACGGAGCCTTGTCCCCTGGCTGAGCTCCTGGGGAGCAGGGGAGGTGGGGAAGGGGTGCAGACCTCCAGCACCACTGGGTTTGGCTGGGGTGTCCTCTACATTTTAGGGGACCCTGGAGAGCCATGTTGGGGTTGGGGGATGCAGGGCAGAAGCTCAGGATGGTGGGAGGTGTTTTTACAGCCACCCCCAGTTTGGTGGCACTTCTGTCCCCACCATGCCATGGCTCTGCCTGCCCTTCCCACGGCCCCGGTGCACCCGTGGGTGCTCCCAGCCCCTTCCGAGCCCCGGCCCTGCCCTCGGTGCCCGGACAGGGGGTCCTGGGGCTGATGGCATTGCCCACAGGTGGCCGGGGAGCAGAAGTACCACCCCGAGTGCTTCAGCTGCCTCAACTGCCACGCCTTCATCGGGGACGGGGACACCTACGCGCTGGTGGAGCGCTCCAAGCTCTACTGGTACGTCAGCTCTGGGGGGCTGGGGGGACACGTCCCCCGGTACCCCCACCCACCTCCTGCTCCGCTCCCCACAGCGGCCACTGCTACTACCAGATGGTGGTGACCCCGGTGATCGAGCAGATCCTGCCCGACTCGCCGGCCTCCCGCATCCCTCACACCGTCACCCTCGTGTCCATCCCCGCCTGCTCCGACGGCAAGCGCGGCTTCTCCGTCTCCATCGACCAGGGCTGCGGCAGCGAGCATCCCCGCACCGTGCGCGTCCGAGAGTGCGTCCCTGTCCCCTCCCTGGGGCTGGGACATCCCGCGCCCCTTCTGCCCCTGGGATCTGTCCCACAGACCCTTTAGGAGTGGGAGGAGGAGCGGTGGGGCTGGGCTGTCCCCATTGTCCTGGGGTGGCCTGTTGGGACCGTGGTGGCACTGCAGGGGGTTTGTGCTGGTGTGTCCCATGCTGGCATTGCCTCGTTTGCCAGTGGGCTGTCTGTCCCTGTGTGTCCCTGTGTGTCCCCGTGTGTCCCTGTGTGTCCCTGTGTGTCCCTGTGTGTCCCTGCGTGTCCCTGTGTGTCCCTGTGTGTCCCCGTGTGGTTGGGGTGGCTTGTGGAGACTGTGCCATCACATCCCTGTCCATGATGGAGGGTGACAGTGGGGTCTGACACAGCTGTTGGGAGTGTCCCAGCACACCCCCCTGATGGTGACAGTGTCGGGGGTCTGACCCCACTGTCCCCAGGGTGGACCCGGACTGCATCAGCCCTGACATGAAGAACTCCATCCACGTTGGTGACCGCATCCTGGAGATCAACGGGACCCCCATCGGCCACGTCCCCCT